CGGGCTGCAGTCAACTTAAAACTATTAATCAAATGTATTCATATTGCATATAAGCACATGCTACAATACCCTTGACAAGAGACAAAGAGGTTCAAACCTCTATCATTTGGCAAAGTAAGGCATTTACATTCAAAACAATAACAAGTGTTGCAGTAGTACATCTCTCAGAGGGGAACTTGATCAAATTCAAACCATAAAATCTTGGAAGCATCCATATAATAAACACGAAATTCAAGTAGGCTAACTAATACCCGCCGTATTGCGTTTGGCTCATTGGTTTAAAGTTGGTTTTACACCTCATTGAGTAAGCTTGCACATTCTGGCTGGTCCGTTGAGCTTTAAGAGAGGATAAAGTTTTGTTCTGAAGATCTGCCTTGCGAGAGCATCAGCTCCAAGAGGAAAGACGTTAAATCATCTAAAGAGGCTTTCTGTGATGGAGGCTGTTCTGAGTAAAATACGGAGACTGATGCCACAACACAACATCCTCGGATACTAAATATACATTAACGCAGATGTGGGCCAGAGAAGTGGGCATAAATGTTGGCCAGCACAAAACATCCTTGAAGTCTCCCTAATTTAAATCTTTGTATTTTAGAAATTTTATACAATTATGTATTGAGAAATGGGATACATTTTAGAAGCAACTTTAATTAGTTAATTGAAGCAAGAAACTTAAACCGCTTGTAAAAAAGGGACATTTTAGCAATTGAAGTATATGTGTAATTAATCATGATTTTTCAGCCAAAAATTAAAGTTAACTCATCTTTTACTTTCCCTCAAGTGGTTCCATACCAGGCCCGTAGCCAGCCTATTGGATGGGGTGGTTCTTTTTTCTCAAAAAGTGGATCTTTTTGCAGTTATTCTCCTAAATTCCTATGAAATTATACTGCATATACTGCATTTTAGTGACATTTTAAGCACTAATATTTACTGCTTGTCGGATAATCATAACCATATATTTTTATGCAACAAAAAAAAATTCCTACAGTTTTGTTAAAGTGCTTACCATACTGATTTACCACAAAGTGTTTATTTAGAAATGTGCCTTTAAACTGTGATTTATTACAGATATATGTAATGTAATGTAAAGTGTATTTATATAGCGCATTTATTGTGTATGGCTATACACCCAAAGCGCTTCACAATCATGAGGGGGGGTCTCTTTACACCACCATCAGTGTGCAGCATCCACTTGGATGATTTATAAATAATGTTATGAATGTTATTTTTAAAAAATAGTTATTTTTTTAAATACAAATTTATCATCATGCATCAAAAACAAATAGAAATATGCTAAAACTTATTAAAAAAAAAAAAAAAAAACACATTAAAAACTGTAGTCTGTAGGCAAATAACAAACCGGCCAGTTCATTTCCTGAGTGAGAATTTGTACATTTGAATAGTTAAAATTTAATTTTGTCCTTAAACCTTCTTCTATTAGCTATTTTCACTATTTATGATAACATACTAATCAAAAAATTGGACAAATTAATTTAAATACAGTGGCCAAATTCTGTACTTTGTCAGTGGTGCTGGTGGTGGAGGGCCTCTTTCGAACCTCCCAAACTCCCCTGGCTACGGGCCTGATACCTTCATGGGTCTCATGTTGAATATTCATTCATTCATTCATTAATTCTTTCTTTTTTCGGCTTAGTCCCTTTATTAATTTGGGGTCGCCACAGCAGAATGCCAACTTATCCAGCACGTTTTTACGCCACGGATGCCATTCCCATCTCTGGGAAACATACACACACACATTCGCACTCATACACTACGGACAATTGAGCCTACCCAATTCACCTGTATTGTTTTTAGTGTGTGAGGGAAACCAGAGCACCCGGAGGAAACCCACACCAACAAGGGAGAACATGCAAACTCCATACAGAAACGCCAACTGAGGCTCGAACCAGCGACCTTCTTGCTGTGAGGAGAGTCAGGCGACAGCACTACCAATTGCGCCACTGCATCCCCCACTGACTTTTTTAAACAAGGACATCCTATGGAAGTCAGTGGTTACAGGTTTTCAACATTTTTCAAAATAACTTATATTGAGTTCAACAGAAGAAAGAAACACAAACAGGTTTGTGACAAGTGAAGGGTGAGTAAATGATGACATGACAATATTTCAGTTTTTAGGTGAATTATCCCTTTAAGTATTCAGACTAACAGCAAGTCAAAATGTGTCCTACATGCCCGTATAGCCAGTCTATTGAAGGGTGGTTCTTTTTTTCTCAAAAAGGGGTCCTTTTTGCAGTTAATATCATTCTCTGTTAAATTATAAGGTTCAAATACTGCATTTAGTGACAATTTAAACACAAATTTTTGCTGGATCAGCTTGTCAGATGGTGATTATAAAAACTGCAGTTTTTTTTTGTTTTTTTTGATGGAACAAAAGTATTCCCTACATTTTGTCAAAGTGCTTGCCTATACTATTTTACCACAAAGTGTACACATGTGCATTTAAACTTAAACTGTAGGTTATTAGTTTTATAAATAATGTTATCCCTGCTAAAAAATCCAGCTTAAACCAGCCTAGGCTGGTTGGCTGGTTTTAGCTGGTCGACCAGACTGGTTTTAGAGGGGTTTTGGCCACTTCCAGGCTGGTTTCCAACCATTTCCAGCCTGGTCTCAGCTGGTCAGGCTGGAAAATGACCAGCCAAATCCAGCTAAAACCAGCTTGACCAGCCTGGTTTAAGCTTGATATAGCTGGTTTTGGCTGGACTTCCAGCTTGGCTAGGCTGGTCAAGCTGGTTTTAGCTGGTCATCTCCCAGCCTGACTAGCTAAGACCAGGCTGGAAATGGCTGGAAACCAGCCTGGAAGTGGCCAAAACCCCTCTAAAACCAGCCTGGTCGACCAAAACCAGCCAACCAGCTTAGGCTGGTTTAAGCTGGATTTTTCAGCAGGGATGAGCTTAGAATTGAAAAAAAATGTTGAAGAAAAATGAAAATATTCTTGTTTTTAAAATACAATGCAATTTTAGAATTTTACTATATCAACCCTCGTAAAAAAAAACAAAACAATAAGAAATTGGTTAAAACTTGTTTAAACTTGTAAAAAATTTGCCTATATAATGAACTGGCCAGCTCATTTCCTCAGTCCGAACTAGTCCATTTAAATAATTAAAAATTACATTTGTCTTGAAGGCTTCTTCAATCGGTTATTTTCACAAGTTATGATGGCATTATATCAAAAAAGGGACAAATGAGCTTGTATAGCTGCCAAATTCTGGACTTTGTCAATAGGGGTGGGTCTTTCGAACCAACCATATCAGCAATTTGAGCGAGTGTTCAATAATTTCTACCAAATAATTAGCCAACATTTGTTTTTATTTGTTAATCTTAACATTTCTCTCTAAATTGTTTATAAACCAGTGAACCTGGTTGTATAGTGTACAGGTGCTTAATAAACGTTCACATCAAACTAGAACACTGTTACCTACCTATCTTCAGGGGTGGCTGCCATTTTGTCAAGACGCCATATTTTCAACGCAGTTCAACAAATCTATTACGGTAAGTGTTGGTCAGGTCAGGGTTTCCGTCGTAAGTGACATAAATTCAATATTTTATTGGTCTAGCAGCCAATAAAACTTACACGCCTTGGGTGAAAACCAATGACTGGTGAAAACTAGTTAAAAAATTTGGCGGGAATGTAGAATTTCTTGAATGACTCACAGCTGTTTAGACCAACCGCTTGACACATGCGCATTAGAGTCTGAGGAACAGGAATGGCTTTAATAGCTTTTTTTTTCCAAAAAAAAAAAAGTTAAATAAAAGAAAAAAAAAAATACAACGCTAGCTTTACATGCTAATTAGCTTTTTTCCAGTCTTTCAGAAGTTAATTTCTAGATTTTTCTATCTGGAAGTTTCATCATTTTAATAAATTACATTAATAATATCATTTTATCGTTAATATTATTAGAACTGCACTTCAATAATTCAGGTTATTAATTTACCAATAGTTTTAATTATTACAAAAATAACACATATATCTTACTTGAAGCTTTGAAGCTTTACTGTTGCTCAACAACAAAGGCTTTAATAATTTTCCCAAGGTCCAAAATATCATAAATCTCAAATGTTTCCCAGCATTTCAACAAAATATGCAAGCTTTACATAAGGACCACTTTTTAATTCCTGCATAAACGTTCTCTCTCTCTCTCTCTCTCTCTCTCTCTCTCTCTCTCTCTCTCTCTCTCTCTCTCTCTCTCTCTCTCTCTCTCTCTCTCTCTCTCTCTCTCTTTCTCTCTCTCTCTCTCTCTCTCTCTCTCTCTGGAAAAGAAATCCCCCCACCAAAAAAAAAGCCTGAAAAAGAGAAGGGCATTATTGTTTTAATCCTCTTACCATCCGTCATTTTAAGACTGTTTTAAAGGCTGAGATGGCGTCTTGTCTCTGTAAATCCTCCAGGCCGGGCGAGATTCTGCCATCTATTAGAGATCTCATTCTCTCTCCACCTTTTTTTTTGCTTCGGTCCTTCTTAAAAACAGCTTGTCAGAAGGTGTGCAACGCAAAAAGTACAGAAATATTTGCTTATTACTCCACGCCTCATGTAGGACTTTTTAAAACACCCATTCAGTAGTTGAAATTTCACAATTGTACTTTAGTAGTTTTAATAGAAAAACTTTTTTGGCATTAGCTTGAAAATAAAAATCTAATTTAATTAATGAAAAACGTCTAATTATTAGCGTATTTGAATTTACCTTAACTTGTGACTCTTATTAGTTTTTGCTAATAATTTTTAGTTTTTAGATTATTTTGATGAGGACGTTATTGCCTTATTATTTCTCAATTACTTTGGTCACATAGCTATTAATGAATGGCTACAGCAGAAAAGCACATCGTTGAAATTGACTTGCTGACTGGAGGATCAGAAAGTGATGGAGACCCTTTGATTGACAGTTAAATTTGCCACTGAAGTTCCTCACTGACCTCATCGTGTTTCTGATTGGCTGATGGGCGGGATCTTCCGACTCTGACCCGCGGAGGCTGTGATGTTTTAGGACAAACAAATCAAACATTCTTCAGAACTGAGCAGCTGTAAACAGACTCGGATACTTTTGAATTCCAACAGGATATAAAACTACAGACTGGGAAAAATCACTCGTGTTCAGTTGCACCAACTGTCAGCAAACTTGCTGTTACTGTTCAGAGGCGACAAAACTTCCCAGAGAGGTGAGTGAAGACTTTAACAAATAATCGGAGTCCTTGAAAATCAGTTTTGAAGATATATTTCGTGCGTAAAATAAATGTAAAACAGATACACTCGTATCAATAACAGCTCCACACTGAGAATCTTAAAAATGTATACATTTGACATTCCCTATACACGAAGTTGATTGTTTTATTTGTTAAAAATTACGTTACATTATTTTATTAGCCTACGTTACACGTTACATTATACTCTGAAAATTATTCATAATGTAAATTAGTGATACTTTATTTATACACTCTAAGAAATGTTGGGTTATTTAAACCCAAATTGCGTAAAATGTGGACTAACCCAAACATTGGGTTAATTTGGGTCCTATTCATTTCATTAAAAAACTAACTCAGTGGTTTAGTCTGCAGCCAAAATTGGGTTGAAATAACCCAGCATTGTTTAGAGTTTACTAGATTGCGTGTACTAATTTTTTTGTTGTTGTTGTTGTTTATTTATTTATTTATTTTATTTAAATTTTTTTGGGTGGCGAACTCTCCTAAAAATGGGCCAATATTTTGCCTTCAAAAAGCTTAAATTAAATTCAGATTACTCTGTAACAACCCTATTTACACTATGGCTTAAAGCTATTTGACAGATCAAAATATATAGCTTAGAGCAGTTCGTCGAAATTAATTAAATAATAAATTTAAACTTATTTAAGCTATTTCTATTATATAGCCTGGTTTTATTTAATTAAAATGGCATATGATTAAATAGGCATATAAATAACATATTAAATAGCCTATATTCAAAGTCTCATTTGTTGAATAATGTGCAATTCTTTGTATCATATAACGTTGTTAATAAATAAAATTCTAATTCTACAAATATTTTGTTGAATACTCAATTACTTTTGCTGCTTGTTCATATTGTTTATTTAAAATTAGTTTACACAGCACAAACTTAATTCTTTATGTTCAATCCACTTAAATTTGTAAAAACGATTAAGTTAAATCGATTTGTGTTGGGACAATTTAATTTATTTAATATTTTAGTGTACCCTAATTTCTTTTTTTAAAAACTGCCGTGTAAATAGGCAACCTCAAATTATTCTAAATTAATATATATATATATGCAAACACAAAGGATGTGTCGCGTCCAGTGTCAGATTGGTAATGAAAGCTATTTGCACCAACATTAGATTCGGCTCAAGTGGGAGCAGCATTTGTAAATGCACACATACATCTCCAGCAGAAGCAGCCCAGAGGCGATGGAGGACAGAAAGAGCACCAATAGAGCTTAACACTGGGAGGGCAAAGTAAATGTTTAGCAAAGCACTTTTTGTTCAGCCGAATTAAAGTATTCCCATGTGGCTGGAATATGATTACATCGGGGAATTTAGTGTCAGTGACACAAATGCCACGGGCTCTTTAGCGAGGACTAAATCTTAAACCCCGAGGCTGCTTACAATTATTCTTGCGTCAAAAATAATAATGACTAATAAAGAGATTATTACCACTGCAGACAATTATCACCGATTAAAATGTAATCAAACTGCAGCTCAATGGAAAATCCCTGCAGTCTTTTAGGCCTACTAAATACTAATATAATATAAGTGTTTTATTATTATAATTGTTACTAGTCTAGCTGTAGTATACAAATTATTATTGTTATTATTATTATTATTATTATTATGGATAATTTTGGTTTTTTGCGGCAGTTCATGGTGTTTTACATTTTTGACATGCCCTCGAGCACAGTTCTTGTTAAAGAGAAAGCGCAGAAATTAATACAATTTGTTAGACGTCTTCAGCATGCCTAAAACGAATTATTCATATCTACTATATGCCTATATTTATTTGATATACGACCTGTCATAACCTCATCCATATGCTGTCACGGCTGCTTGCAAACTGAACGAAAACATTCATCATCTATTGTGGCGATATAGGCTGTGAAGATCAAATAAAGTGCTATGTTGAATAAGCCCAAAATAATGAAAATAAATCATATGCTTTGCACTAATAGCGGATAATGGTAAATGCTGCCTAAAATAATAGAAATTAAAAACAATTGACGAGATTTTCACTGAAAATTAATTTAAAAAGACGATTAAATATAAATGAAACAAAATGTCAAATATATGGCATCCATATAGGCAAAATTATGTGCATTTTTAGCAAACAAAAAGAAAGAAAAATACAAAAATAAATTATTTATAAACGTACAAATGCCTACACTGTAAAAATGATGCTCCACACAATGGATTTATATTAGGACAACAAGAAGATATTAAGTAAGTTGTTCGTTTTTTTAATAAATTGAAGTGTATTGAACATAAAAAAATTAAGTTGTATCCAAAAACCCCTAAAAGTGTGTTGTTTCAGCCCATTTTAAGAAATTTGAACAAACAGCAAACGTCTTTTATGAGTGTATGTGTCGTCTTTTATGCTATTCTATTGCATTATATATATATTACAATTTCTTTATTTCAGAAAGGAATTAATTATTTAATGTGAAATCTATGTTATAAACATTTACGGAGAAATACAAAATGCATGTGGAGCACGTGTCATAATTAAAATAGTTACATGCACACGATGCGAGTCAATTATTTTTAGTTATTCCCATTACTGTCTTTATAAATTTAATTAGGCTGCGTTGTTATTTCCCAGAGATGGGTTGCGGCTGAAAAGGCATCCGCTGCGTAAAAACGTGCTGGATAAGTTGGTGGTTCATTCCGCTGTGACGACCCCGGATTAATAAAGGGACTAATTAAGCCGACAAGAAAATGAATGAATGCGTTATTATTATTATGAGTATCCATGTGTCAGGTGCAACTTTGCAACCTCAAAACACAATTACCAATTAACCTAATCTAAATTGTTTGTGTCAGTATTTATGACATTAATCTTCAGCATTTTCTGTCGTTTATCAGAAGCTCGAGATGCAGCACTACGGGGTGAACGGCTATTCTTTGCACGCCATGAACTCTCTGAGCGCAATGTACAACCTGCATCAACAGGCCGCGCAGCATGCGCAGCACGCGCCCGACTACCGGCCATCCGTGCACGCGCTTACGCTAGCCGAGAGACTTGCAGGTAAATGCATGATTTTTTTACATTAATAAAAGAGATGATTGTTTGACAGATGTTCAAGATATGTTGATGATAGACTATAGTTCTGAACAGAGTTGGGTGTAATTGGTTACTGTATTTAGATTACTTTTGCACAGAAAAATAAGCAAGGCATTACTTTTAATTTTCAGAGAATTTAATAACAGTTACTTGTTTAAATACTGTTCATAAATACAACAGATCTGGATCAATCAGTTAAGCATATTAATTCATTTATCAAGTAGATTGAACGTGCTTGAGAAACTATGAACAGAAAGTCAGAGGTTTTTGTCAATAGGCTATGAAATATTGTGTCATTGCTTTACCATATTTTGTGTTTTGATATATATAATGTTTATAATTTATAATGTGTTACATTTTTGGATAAAGCTAAAAGAACATGTTTTAAAGAAATAAAAGAGTTTAATTTGTGTTGTATGCAGCATTGAGATTTATATGTACTCTACTAAAATAGTTGGATTAAAAATACCCCAACATATAACCCAACTATAGGTTATCATAGCACCTTACCAACTATGGGTTATTTTAACCCAGTGCATTGGGTTATATAATTTAAACCAATGCGTTGGGTTATTTTGATTAAATGGTATTTTTCCGTTCTGGTATTGCTACTATTACTAGTACTACTGTAATTTTTTTAATTATGGCTGGGTAAAAAAAAAACATATCGAAAATGCTTTATTTCCACTACATTTTAGCTCCAGACACTTTTGTTAAAATAAACCAAGATTCACAAACAATTAAGAAACAGATCAAAGTGCAGACAGTTATAAGCAGAGAATCATGTGTTCACTCTAAAAATCATTGAGTTATTTATTTGACCCAATGGTTGTTTTAAACAATTTTGGAGCTTTGTTGGGTTATTTAAACCTATTTTAGATTATTGATTTAATAACTTAACCTGTTGAGTTAAATATTTGGTGCTTTGTTTGGGTTATTTTTAACTTTTATTGGATTATTTATTTAATAACTCAACCAGTTGAGTTAAATATTTTAATTTCAACAGTCAGCTGATTTAGCTGACACAAAACAGCTGTATTAATATGCGTGCATGATGTTGTTTTTGCGTTCTAAAGCTTATTTAAGCTATAACATAATAATATTGTTCTTAATTATCAAATTACCTCTCCATGTTGGGTTTTTTATACCCGTTTCACCATCTTTTAGAAGCGTTTGGATGTGGTTGAAATGTATTGTACATTGTGGACACTGAGTGAAGTCTGCTGCAGCTGCAGCACACAGAGCTCCATATTCTGCTCCATCAACAGAGGATTTTCTGCTTGCAGAGTTTATAACTTTCTGCACTTTGCTCTGTTTCTTCATTGTTTGTGATTCTTGATTTATTTTAACAACAGTGTCTGGAAATAAAATGTAATGGAAAAAAGCAGTTTCAATATTTTTTTTATTTATTTACACAGTTATAATAAAAAAAAAGAATTGTACTAGTAATAGTAGCAATAGTAATACCAGAATGGAAAAAATAACCTTTATATAATCCTTAATATAATCCAATGCATTCGTTAAAATAACCCATAGTTGGAAAGGTGCTTTAATAACCTATGGGTGGGTTATATGTTGGGGTACAGTATTTCTAACCCAACTATTTTAACAGAGTTGATGGAGCAGAATATGGAGCTCTGTGTGCTGTAGAGACTGTCCAGCAGCTGTTCACTCAGTGTCCACAATGCACAATACATTTTAACCACATCCCTAAAAGATGGTCTTGGATGGTGAAACGGATATAAAAAAAATGACTTGGAGAGATAATTTGACAAAGATAACAATACTATTGTGTCAGAGCTTAAATAAACTTAATAACACACACATATTAATGCAGCTGTTTTGTGTCTGTTAAATCAGATGACTGTTGAAATTAAAAAATTTAACTCAACTGGTTGAGTTATTAAATAAATAACCCAATAGAGGTTAAAAATAACCTAACAAAGCACCAAATATTTAACTCAACTTGTTGAGTTATTAATAAATAACCTAACAAAGGTTGAAAATAACCCAACAAAGCACCAAATATATGTAACTCATCCATTGGGTTGAATAAATAACTCAAGTTTTTAAGAGTGTAGTGCATTTATGCGTTGAATGTTATGTTGTTGTATAAATTAATCTTGAAACTTGAGTAACTGAGTTATTTCTCAGACACAGCAATTTTAAAATACATTTTTAATGATGTAATTGGTAATTAATTACTTGTTTGAAGTCACTTACCTGAAACTCTCCATGACTGCATGTTCAGACATCATCTTGGAGGCACGCTATGGTTCTCAGCACAGAAAGCAGCGCCGCAGCCGCACAGCCTTCACCGCCCAGCAGCTGGAGGCGCTGGAGAAAACCTTCCAGAAAACACACTACCCTGATGTGGTCATGCGTGAACGGCTGGCCATGTGCACAAACTTACCTGAAGCTCGAGTACAGGTGAGCTCAAAACCAGCTTATATTATTGAGAACATTATATATTCTATTATAAAACATAAAATCAATGACAAAAGTAACACGTATTCAAATATCATATATAAATCATATAAATAAGTAAATAATGAGGCTATTTGTTAAGAAATGAAATGTATTATTTATTATTTATTAGAAATTTTAAAAAATCCTACTTCAATATTAAAAATAATAATGAAAATAATCATAATAATAAAAATAATATTATTTATAATAATGGCTATTAATATTAATGTCTGTATTATTATTAAGTATTATATTGTTAATTTATTTTTATTTTTTGATAAGTCTGCTTTTACAATTTGCCATGCAAAACACTGCAGAAATGACCAACAGGCCCATGCCATATACAGTACATATACTTAATAAATAACCCACTATTAAACAAAAGCATTAACGTATGCTATATAGTTTTGTTTTCAGAAGCTTTGGAGACGTAACTTAAATTCGGCTTTTAAATAATAGGTCACCTATAGCTTTCGCCATGAACCAAAGCTGTGTTCCAAATGACATCAGTGTTTTCTAAGTGCACTGCAATTGTAAACATGAAGATCACTAAAACTGAACTGTAAAAATACTTTGATAGCAAATTAAACCTAAGAGAGATGACGTTAATGCTTTTTTTTAAAAATCATTCCAAGTTTAAATGTTGGAACGTTCTAAATAAATAGGGCATAGGGGGATAAGTGGGAATAGAACACAGACAGGAACTATGTTTCTAACTACAGCTCCAGAGGTGTAGTTGCAAGCATACAAGTTTGCGACACAGTTTGCGAATGTTCGTTTGAACAATGGCTTTGGGTAACACCAAATCAACAAACTATGTTTGCAATGATACAACTTGCGACCTTAGTTGGCTAACGATGGTTTTCGGAAATGCACCCCAGGTCTATAAGCATGCTTGAATGTTGGTTTATAAGCGGTTTGTTTTTCCGATGTTTTCTGAATTGTGGGCTGACCAGTAGCTTTTGATGTGGATGCTTTTTCCTGCTTGGCGATACTGTTGACTATATAAATGGACAATTTTAAAACCTTAACTTTTCCAAATCACGGTAAACCTTAAAATCCATTATCATCCCATGCCTATATACTGTTATTCACATCTATAACAAATGTTTTTTAATTCAGCTGTGGTGTCTTGCCTTTATTCTGTGACTGAAGTTTTTCATTGCATTTCAATGTCTTCACATTTCCAGGTGTGGTTTAAAAACCGGCGTGCAAAGTTTCGCAAAAAGCAGCGCAGCTTGCAGAAAGAGCAGCTTCAGCGGCTGAAGGAAGCTGGGACAGAGGGCGCTCAAGATGAGGGAAAAGAAGAAGCTCCGCCTGTTGAGGCACAAGCCCCGCCCTCTCCGTTAGATGGGCGTGGCCTCACTAGTGCCCCTTCCTGTGAGCTGAATGAGGAGGTGAACGTGACCTCACCAGAACAGTCAGGGGCAGAATCAGGGGCCGAGGACACCACTGACAGAGAGGATGAGCCACTGTCAATCAAAGATGAAATAAAAGAGGCGGGGCCACCTCTGATGACAGATGACAGCTCACCCTCATATAAACCACTCAGCCCTAAATCAGGTATAAACGACTAGTTACATGATCTTTATTTCTCAATGCTTAAAATGAAAAAAAAAATAGGTTGAAGTATTCAGAATTGTGTACTTTTCTTTCTTTTGAGAGAGTCACGAATGATGGAAATTGAGAGTCTAATTTTGTAGGTGAACAACTTTGCAGACTTTTTTTACATTAAAGGACAGCTACGTTTTGAGGTTAGTTGAGGTCAGAATTATTCGCCCCCCTTTGAATTTTCTTTTCTTTTTTAAATATTTCCCAAATTATGTTTAACAGAGCAAGGATATTTTCACAGTATGTCTGATAATATTTTTTCTTCTTATTTGTTTTATTTTGACTAGAATAAAAGCAGTTTTTAATTTTTCAAAACCCCTTTTAAGGTCAATATTATAAGCCCCTTTAAGCTATAATTTTTTCGATAGTCAACAGAACAAACCATCATTATACAATAACTTGCCTAATTACCCTAACCTGCCTAGTTAACCTAATTAACCTAGTTAAGCCTTTAAATGTCACTTTAAGCTGTATAGAAGTGTCTTGAAAAATATCTAGTCTAATATTATGTACTGTCATCATAGCAAAGATAAGATAAATGAGTTATTAGAGATGAGTTATTAAACTATTGTGTTCAGAAATGTGTTGAGGAAATCTGCTCTCCGTTAAACAGAAATTGGGGGGGGATGAACAGGGGGGTGAATAATTCAGAGGGGCTAATAATTCTGACTTCAACTGTATATGTCAATAGTCAATAATTCAGTATATCGTGGTAATAAAAATGTACAATTGTTTATTTAAATTCAGCCCAGACTGTAAAAAATGCAAGGTTCCACATAAGTCCTTCATGTTGTCGCTGATTAAGTTAGCTTAATTGTTTAAGTTGTCTCAAATAATACTCATATTTAAAATAATACTAGTATTTTAAATAAGTAGTAATTAATTGTTTGCAATTGCTTACCTTAAATAATGTTTATAAACCCAATGAGTCTTTTTTTTCAATTTATACTACCTGACAAAAGTCTTGTTGTTAATTCCAGTTGTAAGAGCAACAAATAATGCCCTGACTTTTAGCTGATCATTTGGAAAAGTGGCAGAAGGTCAGTTTTTCACATGAATCATCTGTTGAGCTGCATCCCAATCATCACAAATACTGCAGAAGCCCTACTGGAACCAGCATGAACCCAAGATTCTCACAGAAATCAGTCAAGTTTGGTGAAGGAAAAATCATGGTTTGGGGTTACATTCAGTTTGGGGGTGTGCGAGAGATCTGCAGAGTGGGTCATCAACAGCCTGAGGTATCAAGACATTTGAGCTGCCCATTACATTACAAACCACAGGAGAGGGCAAATTCTCCAGCAGGATAGCGCTCCTTCTCCTACCTCAGCCTCCACATCAAAGCTCCTGAAAGCAAAGAAGGTCAAGGTGCTCCAGGATTGGCCAGCCCAGCCACCAGTTATGAACATTATTGAGCATGTCTGGGGTAAGATGGAGGAGGCATTAAAGATGAATCCGAAGACTCTTGAAGAACTCTGGGAGTCCTGCAGGAACGCTTTCTTTGCCATTCCAGATGACTTTATTAATCAGTGATTTGAGTCATTGCAGAGATGTATGGATGCAGTCCTCCAAGCTCATGATGGAGTCAGACACAATATTCATTCTGTCTCCACTGCAGCATGACTTTATATTCTATACTGGACATTATTTCTGTTCAGTGAAGACTTCTGTCTAAGTAAAGTCAGACCTTACTGTCCTAATTAAATCATTAAAAATCAAGGCATGATCATATTTCATTTTGGTAAAATAAACATAATCTAGACGCCTCTGCCTTTCATATAAGCCAATTCTGATACCAAATGATCAACTAGAAGTCACGTTATTATGATTCCTATTTTTGGATAGGCGACAAGACTTGTCAGGTCGTGTAAAATCTGCCTTTGAATGCAAACAAAAACAAGTTTACATTGCGATCTTTCTCTGTCCGCAGATGATCCGCTTGTTTCTCCAGCTCTTCCCTCTTCCAGCGGCGCGGTGGCTCAGAGTAACTCGTACGCGTCGTCTCCTCTCAGTCTCTTCCGTCTGCAGGAACAGTTTCGCCAGCACATGGCCGCCACCAACAACCTCATGCACTACCCTGCCTTCGACGTGACCGCGCCGTCCTCCTTACCTTACCTGGGTGTAAACGTAAACATGGCGTCTCCGCTTGGATCTCTGCCCTGTCAGCCATACTACCAGACGCTGACTCAAGCCCAGCAGATGTGGAGCAGTCCTCTGCTGCAGGGCTCCGGAGGTCTCCCGGCCCTCAACAGCAAAACCACAAGCATCGAAAACCTGCGCCTGCGGGCCAAGCAGCATGCTGCATCTCTCGGCCTGGACACGCTACCAAACTAAGACCATGTCCACATGAACATGGGTATTTTCCGGATGAGTTTTCCTGCCTTTGTTTGACAAATAAAAAGCTGATGCGCTGTCAAGAGCATGCCGAACCAACAGGGAGCCATAAAAACGCTGAGATAAAGGGATAGTTCACCCCAAAATGACAAATTGTACTCTATTTACTCACCCTCAGGTGGTTCCAAACCATTATGAGTTTCATTCTTCTCTTTAACATTCATTCATTATTTTCTTGTCGGCTTTGTCCCTTTATTAATCCGGGGTTGCCATAGCGGAATGAACCGCCAACTTATCCAGCAAGTTTTTACGCAGCGGATGCCCTTCCAGCCGCAACCCATCTCTGGGAAACACCCACACACACACACTCTTACACTACAGACAATTTAGCGTACCCAATTCACCTGTACCACATGTCTTTGGACTGTGGGGGAAAACGGAGCACCCGGAGGAAACCCACGCGAAGGCAGGGAGAACATGCAAACTCCACACAGAAACACCAACTGAGCCGAGGTTCGAACCAGCAACCCAGCGACCTTCTTGCTGTGAGGCGACAGCACTCCCTACTGCGCCACTGCCTCGCCTCTCTTTAACATGAAAGAAGATATTTGAAGAAAGCTAAAAACCTGTAACCATTGACTTCCATAGTAAAAAAAAACAATTATTATGGAAGTCTTAATTGCAAACTAACAGTGCTTAATTCATAAATTAATATTTTCCAGAAGTCCCAGCTGGGTCAGTTGGCATTTCAGTGTGGAGTTTGCATGTTCTCCCCATGTTTGCATAGGTTTTCTCCGGGTGCTCCGGTTTCCCCCACAGTCCAAACACATGCGCTATAGGTGAATTGAATCAACTAAATTGCCTGTAGTGTATGTGTGTGAATGAGTGTATGTGGATGTTTCCCAGTGATGGGTTGTAGCCGGAAGGGCATCCGCTGTGTAAAACATATGCTGGAATCATTGGCGGTTCATTCCGCTGTGGTGACCCCTGATGAGTAGAGGGACTAAGCCTAAAAGAAAATGAATGAACGAATCCCTTTAAGTATTCGAGCAAGAAAAGTTATATACAAAGTCAACGTAAATTCAGGAACTGTGATGAATTACCGTCGCAATGAGTGCGCAATGTGTAAAGGCTGATTTATACTTCTGCGACAAACGCACGCGTATGCTACGGCGCTGACGCATAGCCCTTCACCGTGGCCGTCGGCGTCGCTGACGTGCACCTCTCAAAAAATGTAACTACACGTCGCAACGACGCCTAGCGCAAGCTCTGTGATTGGTCGGCTTGGTAGCGCTGACGAGTCTGGGTGGGACCGAGAGCAGCGTGAATGGTGCGAGCCTGATGGAGCGATTGTTTACAAGTGTGGAGTCCCGTGAAGGAGCTCCGGATGGAAAGTTTTGTTTTGTGTTTACCTCATAGTTAAAGCTGTTGCACGTCCGCCGGTTCCTGCCTCAAAATGAGCGAGTTTGAGCCACTTGTACATCCCGGAAGTGTTCAGGAAAAGCAAAACAGCAGCGAAGAAACTCGACACAGAGGAACATTTACCCCTCACTGCCAACTAGCGTTTCAGAAGTGTTAATGCAGACCAACAGAGACAGCGCGCACAAGTATAAATGCACAGCTACGCGCGTTGCATCCGCCGTGGGTTACACCGGTCACTTGACGCAGAAGTATAAACCAGGCTTAGCCACAAACTTGCAGAATTCGCCTACCACATCTGTTGCGAATGCAACTGTGTTGGCCAATCAGAAAGAAGAAAACAGCACACACTCTGATGGCATGAGCCATACGACCACACTGTAAACTGGCTAAAAGTCTTCACCCTGGCCTCGAGTCTTCAGAAAGTTTTGGTTTCAGTATGTGGACGAATGGCCAAACGGCGTAGAAAAACTACAGTTTTGTGAATACCCGTGTTCCTGTGGACTGGACCTAACCCTCCAGTGTCCAGGATTGATCACGAGGAGCCATTTCTTTATACAGCATGGTGGAGTGAAGAAGTCTGGATGACTTTTAAAGGGATAGTTCACTCAAAAATGTAAACTCTGACGTCATTTTCTCATCATTTACATCATATGCTTTTTTTATTACGGAAAATATATATTTTGAAAAAGGCTGGTTGCCGGCACGCATTAAATTCCATAGTGTTTGTTTTCCTACTGTTGATGTCAGTGGGTCCCAGCTACCAGCATTCTTCAAAATATCTTCTTTTGTGTTTGACGATGAAAGGAACTCAGAGCTGAGATGATGAGGTAGTTTTCATTTTTTGGGGGGGTAAACTAGCCCTTTAAGAGTTTATGTCCAGCTGCATGGCAGAGGTTTTTAAGCTTTTCCAAACACCCCTGGCTTTGCACTTTTAAAATGTTAGTTAAAAAGCACATCAATGGCCCGTTCACACTAAGGAAGATTACCAGAAATATATTAGGGTCAACACCAATGCACAATAATGCATGCTTCAGGTTTGTTGTGTGCCACTTTGAATACTCAAGCTAGTTGAAGGCATAGTTTTATCACTCATGATGAAAAAGACACTCTGAAAGGGATTCCGGTTATTGCAAAATTTGAGGACTCTGAAATTAATTTCAACTTAGAACAGTTTCTTTAAATTCAATTCAGTTCAATTCTAAAGCTCATTAGAGCATCGTAGTTCCCTAGTGGTTAAACTTCAGACTTTCAAAGCAGTAGAAGAGAAGGAACTCTTTAAACAGGTAAATTCCTTCAATTCAACAAGGTCTATGCTAGATCCTGACAAAAATCGCACTGTCAACATTAACATGGACATAGGGTTAAATCACATTCTCTAATCGACTTGTTCTGCCACCAAAAACCCATATGAACGTTGTGATTGGCCGAATCAAAATTGATGGGTCAACATTGGTGGTTCATAGGTCGTCACCAATGTCAAGAGCAAACTTACACCCTTGCTCAATCGTATCTACGACTTCTGGTGTTAACCTAGGTGTATTGGCCAATCAGAAAGGAGAAAATGTATTGAGGCAAAACCTTTAACAGTCTTTTTACAGTTCATGTAGCACAGTGGTCCCCAACCTTTTTATCACCGTGGACCGGTCAACGCTTGTCAATTTTACAACATACCGGGGGGGGGGCTCTGATTATGTTTCAATCAAGGTTTATATGCTTTAAATACATAACATCTGTGCCAAACATTTCAACTGACGAACATATTAATAATAATACAACCGTATAGCCGAATTAAATGTATGCATTGGCATGTTACAGCCCTAATGAGTATGATTATGTGAAGCTCCATATAGATTCATATTGCAATGATTGCGGGTACTTACTTAGTGATGCACGCACACATAACGTTATATGCACAATCCTTAAATGCTCTGCTGACTTGGACTCTATAATACCTGTTTTATAACCTTAAACTATCAACAACCACCACTGAGCTATATTCTAGCGATCGTTCTTCCCGCTCCGTGGTGGATTTTGGCATAGTCCAATTCATGTGAGATGGCGGGGGGTGAGTGGAAGAAACCAAGTCGGGGGGGGGGAATATTTTCTACAGAAATAATTCATGATTTCTAATGTGGCCCGGTACCAATTGTTCCACGGACCGGCCCGGTGGTTGGGGACCACTGATGTAGAAGAGTCAAAATTGGTGTTTTATAGGTCGCCACAAATGTCAAGAGCAAACGTACGCCCTTGCTCAAACGTGTCTGCAACATCTGGTGTTAAGCTAGGTGTACTGGCCAATCAGAGAGGAGCAAATGTATTGATGCAAATCCTCAGTTTAGCCAATGATTAAACCTTCAGACTTTCTCAGCAGTAGGAGAGGAAGAACTCTCCAAACAGGTAAATTCCTCCAAATCAACAAGGTCTATGCTAGATCCTGACAAAAATGGCACTGTCAACATTAACATGAACATAGGGTTAAATCACATTCTCTACTCGACTCGTTCTGCCTCCAAAAACTCATATGAACATTGTGATTGGCTGAACATTTCCGTTAACAGCTCATGTAGCAGAGTCAAAATTGGTGGTCGCCACCAATGTCAAGAGCAAACCTACGCCCTTGCTCAATCATATATACGACATCTGGTGTAAACCTAGGTGTACTGGCCAATCAGAAAGGAGAAAATGTACTGAGGCAAAACCTCAGTTTCAAGAGTTCCCACTTAGATATGCTTAGAGTTCAAAACAAGTTTGGCATGCTGTCCTGGGAGAGAACCCTGAGCTCGGAGATACTTGAGCTTAAGGCTCCCGCCCGGTGAAATAGCACATAAGGGGATCCGAGATTAGGTAGGTCTCGAGAGCTCCCCCTTACAAAAGGCCTCACAGCAAGAAGGTTGCTGGGTTGCTTGTTCGATCCTCGGCTTAGTTGGCGTTTCTGTGTGGAGTTTGCATGTTCTCCCTGCATTCGGGTTGGTTTCCTCCGGGTGCTCCGGTTTCCCCCACAGTCCAAAGACATGCAGTACAGGTGAATTGGATTGGCTAAATTGTCCGTAGTGTATGATTGTGTGTGTGGATGTTTCCCAGAGATGGGTTGCAGCTGGAAGGGCATCTGCTGTGTAAAAACCTGCTGGATAAGATGGCGGTTCATTCCGGTGTGGTGACCCCAGATTAATAAAGGGACTAAGCCGACAAGAAAATGAAATAAATGAATGATTACAGATGAGAAGCCAGTCCTGCTCAATCATATCAAATGCTCCCCTCGAAAATAAACTGCGGTCACACTAGAGTTTGTGTGTGCGAAATTCTGTCGTATGGGATTAAACAAAAGGACGGGATTAAATAAAATTATTAGACATTAAAAAAGCGAGCGATTGCTTCATGTTTTTAATTTCTGGCCAGACAGGTCATGTTTTGATCCTCGATTGGTCTCACGCAGTCAAGTGATGCGATTTCGCAGGTCAGAGTTCACCCAGCTTAAACTTTGCACCGCAGCAACCTGCGAAACTTGACGTATGACCATGCGTTTCCGGTCTGACGCATTCGCTTGCGTATGAATGGAAGTCTATGGGGAGAAAAGTCAAGCGTGACCGCAGCTTTAGTTTGAGAAGCTTCACTTAAACTGATGGATAAACTTCAGATTTTCTCAGCAGTAGGAGAGGATGAACTCTCCAAACAGGTACATCCCTCCAAATCAACAAGGTCTATGCTAGATCCTGACCAAAT